ATATTACACCATGACTTAATATAAAAGTATTTAAATATAAAGAGTTCAGTAAATCATAGAAAGACTTATACAAACTGATGCAGAATTAATTAGGTATAACTAGGGTAATCACTGTTCTGTGATTACAACAATATTAATGAAAAGACTAAAATATTACACTTAATGCAGTTTAATTATAAGGGCCAAACTTGGCCCAAGAGAAGAGCTGAAAAAATGCACTTTCTTCCTCTTTGTAGAGTTACAGGACTGGGTGTAGAGAACTTTGATGATGTGTTGTTTGGTTCTGCTATGTTGCTTTTTTTTTCTTTCTTTGTATAAAGAATGGTTTACTGGATAGGGAAGCAGGGAGAGATGTATTCAGAAATGAAAGTGGTATTAAAAACAAAAGATCAGAATGTCTTAAAAAATAATATATGTATATATAGCACATTCAGGTTTACAGAATGCTTTACATATGCTATCTTGTTTGATATTCATAACAATCCTATGAGGTAAGTGTTTTCATCTCTATTTGCAAGTGACTTCTTCCAGCTCTAAATCTATGATTCTATGAGAAAACTGAGCTACAGAGAGATAAGATGACTTGTTCACGGTTACACATCTGGTTGAGTTTGAACCCATATCTTCTTGACTTACATCAAATACCCTTATCCTCCTTCCCTTTTCACATTATATACTTAAACTCCTTAAGGACCACGACTTGTTTCAGTTTTGTCTTTGTATCCCTAGGCTGTACAGTGAAGGCACTTAATAAATGCTTGTTGACTGATTCATTTATGTATGTGTATGTGCTATCCCTCCACTGTAGAATGTAAAGTCCTGGAGGGACTGTCTTGGACTCTTCTGTGTCTAACATAGTTGCGTAGAACATACTTGTTGGGTTGTATTGCATTGGGTTGACAGGGAAGAGACAATAATTTTGAGGTTACTAGCCTGATGACAAGCAGGATGGTAGCAGCCTTGAAAGAAACAGGTAAGTTTGGAAGAGGGGCAGATTTAGACTTAAATTACTTAGGAAAGATCGACTAGACATAGATTTAGGAATCAACCACAAAAAGATGGTAATTGAAGCCTTAAGAGCAAATCAGGAGAAAGTATAGAGACAAGCTTCTCAGGACAGTCTTGGGAAACATCTACATTAGGGGGTGGGCAGTGAACAGTTATCCATCTATGGAGATTGAAAAGAACTTGGAGAAAGTAATCAATCAATAAGCATTTAATGTGAGTAATGTCATAGGAACCAAGAGAAAAGCTTCCAGAAGTATCCAGATAGAGAAGGTGGTATATGGTATAAATTGTATCATTCTTAGATCTTTTAAAAATTTGAGGCAAAATGAAATTTCTTTAAAATACTTTGAATTCTTTAGAGAAAATAGTATACAAATATATACTGTTTCATTTCAATTTAACAGATATTTCACCCAATCATTTAGAATAGTTGAATCGGAAAAAAGCAGATTCAAAAGCTATATCAAGAAACTCAACCTTTTTGGCCCAGTGAAACAATGATAAGATGAGTGTGTATTTGGTCTTTATTTTAACTTGGCCTTTAAGAGCTCGTTATGAGTATAAATCCTATCTTCAACTTCTAAAAGTAGACAGAAGAGAAAATAAATGTATCTTCATAATGGGGATCAAACTGAGTGAAATTATCAAAGGAAGCAAAGAACTTGATTTTGACAATATTGAAAGAGGAAACTAATCTGTCTTGTCAGCTGAGTTCAGGTCTAAAACTAGTCATTTCTTGACAGAAGAAACCATTTCTCAGAAAACCTACTGTTGTGGGGGTTGGGTTTCAGAAGTTTGTTTTATTTTTAAATAATCTATGACTTGAAGGTTAGTAATATATTATGTTTCCTTATGGTATTTATTATTAGTATGTTTAAAAACCTCAGTGACAAGAGTTTAAAGCAGATGTCATTTAGAAAAACTGTTACTTCTGTGACTGATGTTACTAGATGTTGAAATCAGACTTCCTGTGGAAGTGTGGTTTTGGTTGTTTTTGTGATATGTCAAGCAATAGAGTTTGAACCACCATTTCTATTGATTGCATTTTTCTCTGTTCACAATTTTTTTTTAAAAAGAGAATTAGAGAAGCTTATATAAATAATTGTATAACAATAAACAAGTATGTTATAGATTTAAAGGTCTTCATTTTACAGCACAGAGAATTGCAAGAATATATCTTGTTAATTCACTGTTGAGTTACAAAGGCAGAATAAAGTGTGGAGCAGGGAAGGCATTTTTCTGGTTACTCTGTTTTAGAAATTAAAACTTAACTTGGAATTTATTGATGGAACAGTTGGTACATTGTGGATAGGTTATTAAGAGATGAATTGGTGCAGGAGGAGTTGTAAGAATCTGGACAGTTTTAAGGAAAGGAGTTGGCACTTTGAAAGTAGAATTTTAGATACTTAAGTGTTTTGATTCTATAATTGGAGAAGTGGCAGTGCCCTACTTTTATTGTTAAGTCTGTGCTGGAAATCATGAATCATGCAGTCATTTTTTCAATGTTCATTTAAAAGACTTTGATAGTTTCACTTCTTTTGAAAATGTTTAAATATTTTTTTGTTCAAATAAGCCATTTTTAAGGTAGTATGCATTGTAGTTAATGCCAAAAAAATCCCACTTCCACTATGAATGGAGTCCATTTGATTCCTCAACTTTTTGCAAATTCCTTTTTTAAAAGTGTTTTAGAATATCATAATGTATACACACTTTACTATCTTTTAAATGAAAGAAAAAAGCCACTTTGATCTTTAGGCATAGGTTCGTTCCACCCATCCTCCTACCTCCAAATGTTCCTTCAGCTTGCTAGAGATGTTTTGGGGACAGATTTGCAATAAAGGGATAGATCCTAAATAGATCATTTTTATTGATTTAGTTTCTTTTTAAATAAATTTGTCATCTGTGAAATCTGAAAGATTTCTTCTAGAATCTTGAAGCTCCAGTAGAGCACCTTTGCTGGTTTTGTGACCCTGATATAAACAAATTTTATGGAGAAATAGTTGAAAGAAGTGAGATTAAGTTAAAATGTGAACATTTCATTCTTAAAGTATTGAGGTGATACTAGTTGAGGTGCTTTAAAATTGGGGGAAAAAAAGCATGGAAATTCTTTTATCCCTCCATTTCTGAAATATAGAGAGGTCCAGTTGTTGACCTGTTTCATTGCTGGCGTTGTAATGTGGCTATCACAGCACCCTACTGAATTGCTCCTATTTGAAGTCTTTATTTTGTACCAGCTGTGTAGTTGATAGTGCTTTGTTTTTTGTGTTTATGTCGCTTCTATGCTTTACACAAGGAAACAAAGTCCTTTGGTGCTATATTTTAGCAGTACTTTGAAATTAGAGTTTATTTGGCATTATGAAGAGGCATTTTCATATATTTCCTGTTATAGTGAGCTAACTTTCTGGGATATGTGGTTTTTATTTTGTTAATTGTGTAGCTGGCTTTCTCTTCCCCAACATAATAAAGCAGTTAAAGGGTGATTAAACTGTTAAAAAAACAATGCTTGCTGACCTCATCTTTCCGAGAACACTAGTATGTGTGATTTACTATAACAAGATCTTAGTTTTTCCTGTTGGCAAATGACATGTAATATTTACAAAGGTCTTGGGTTCAATCCAGCAGAAACATCTCAGATAAATTGATACATGAAAGTAAAACCCGTTAGCATTTTCTTTTCTTTGGAGATCGTGTAACTAGAAGATTTTTAGCTTAAAAATATTTTTTAAAAACTGTAAGATTTGAGGGCAGCAAATTGTAAATTAGATTGTAAAATTATTGTATACATAGTTTTCTGTAGAATTAAGCAACAAACCTCAATTCATTTCATTTATTTTCACAATCCCAGTTTAATTATACATATCTGAAATTGTGCTTTCAAGATTTCAGATTAACAGCTCTGTTCTTTATGCAGATATCTACAATCGGTTTTTAAATTTTCTTGAAGTGAATATGTGTATGGAATAACCTATGTGTGTCTTTTAGAGACTGGGCTTCTTAAAGTTGTACCTCTTAAATATTTTTCCCTTATGTACTTATAAATTATATGAAACGTATTTTTTTTGCCCAGTCTATATCTAAATTTTCCTAAACTTGAAATGAGTGAATTCTGATTTTAAGGAAATCTTATCTTATATAAAAGGAACAGCAATTTATACCTAAATTATAAAGCATATTCATTTAAAAAATTTATATGCTTTAAAAATATCTTTTGCTTTTAATATCCCTGAATATCCCCCTGTATTCTTCTTTCTGCCCTCTTCCAAATCATCCCCTATAACAAATATGTATATACATATATATATATTTTTTTTTTTTGAAAGAAATGGCGGGGATGAAGGAGGAGGAAGGAGAAAATCAAAACCAATCAGTACATAAAACAACCTTGATAATATATAAAATGTTCTATCCCCATGGATCCTTCCACCTCTGCAGAGGAGTGAAGGAAATTGTCTTCACATATCTCTTACTTAAGGCTATGCTTCTACTGAACCATATTTTACAGATTATGAAACCTCTTTTTCAACCTGGTGAATCAAAAGTAGGAATAATCTACATTCTACCTTTGGGGCTTTTTTTATGAGCAGTTATTAAAACATTTCAAAACAAAAATGCATCTTAAGTATTGCATAAGTAAGGACAGTGAAATAGGCTGCTTCTATAAATCTAGTCCTAACTTTCTTGTAGCCAATTTTTTTTTCTAAGCAGACCAGTCATTACTTAAGCAGAGTTCATTGCCCTAAAGTAAGTATTTAATTTTCAGTAAGGAAGGGATTTTATTTTATTGTACTGTAGGATTTCTCATTTTTAAAAAAAACAAGTCATCATTAATGATTTATACCACAAAAAATACTGACTTGATTCTTGTTACCTTTCTAACTGTTGAATAATTAACAAGAGGATAATTTCATGATGATTAATAAAAGCTATAACTGTTTCTGAGAAAATATATTCTGGAGTAATTTATGGTTTATCATTTTTGTTTTTATTTTTAGATGATCATAGTCGTGTTAAACTGCAAAATACTGAAAATGATTATATCAATGCCAGCTTTGTTTCCATTGAAGAGGCACAAAGAAATTACATCTTAACACAGGCAAGTAATATGATGCTAAGTAGTTTCATTAAAATGGAATTTTATAGGTTCTGAATTCTCTCTGTCTAGGAAAAAGTGTTGTACTTTGAATTTAAATACAGTCAATTCCATTAGATAAGAGCAGATTGTCTGTGTTGTATTTTATCTGAAAAAAAATCTTGCTTTGTGGCTTGCCAAGCATATATTCTGCTAATAATTACTTGCTCAGTTGACAATTTCCATGCCTTTTTGTCCTTGTTTTCATATTGTCTGAAGTACAACAAGGAAGTCCTTTTAAATCCTTTTTCTAAGGAAAGGTTGAAAAGAAAGCACAGTAATATTTTAGTACATGTTTTGTATTATTCGGACAAAAAGAACTGCTTGTCCATTGCAAAAATTGAGTTGCTAGGATGAATTGAAGTGAAAGGAGCAGGTAGAAGGGGAAAATTGGATGGTGCCTTGCATTTTTTTTTGTGAAGTGAATTTTCTGTGTATCTGACATGCTCATTAACATATAAATGTTCTTTCCTTTTAAGCCCAATATAATTCTCATTGGATTACACACCTCAATTATTTGTTAGAAGAAATGTGGGGGATTAAACTGATATTACCTTTTGTTATTTAAATGGTTAACTACATAGCTGGGAAAGAAATCCACAGTACTGATATTTAGAATATAAATAATTCTTCCCCCCAAGTTATCGGTATATTAAATTAAAATTGCTGTAGTTTTAGTAGTTAAATTAGTCATCATTTTGTAGGAAAACTTACTTTCTTTCTAACCTTTCCCAGTATTTCTGCTTACCTTCCTTTCTTGTAAATAACCTAAATTAGAGTTTTTAGATTACTGAATATTGATAATACATAGGTAGGTGGTACAGTAGATCAAAGGCTGGGTTTGGATTCAGGAAGATTTGAGTTCAAATATTGCCCCAAGTGCTTATTTGTTGGGTGGACCTGGCCAGGTCTTTAACTTTCATCTTCAATTTTCTAATTTGCAATATGGAGATGATAGCACCTATCTATATCACACAAGTGTGGTGAGGACAAAATGAGATAATATATATAAAGAACTTTTCAAACTTTAAAGTGCTAGTTACTATTATAATTTTATATTTAGTGTTTTTGTCATGGTCATCTGTTTGCTATAAAGATATCTGTGTAATGTACATCTTTGTAGAAACTTAAAAACTGATTCATATTCTTAAGGCTAATTGCAATGAAAGGTTACTAAAGCATTATTCTGTGTCAGCAGCTGATAATACAATTTATAAATGTATCTTGGGTAGGATAGATTTGCTTATGAATTAATATAGTAAAGTTTTAAAATTAAAATTTAATTGGATATATTGAGCTTTTATCATTATTTTTAGAGAACATGTTCTAATTTAACTTTTAAAACTATGATTCTTATATATTATCTAGTAGAATAACCGTACTGTTATCTCAAGTCAGACTCTTCAAAACTGTATTCATTGTGAAAGTGTTGGCAGAAATGATATTAGTTATGTCAGGGACCTTCGTTTGTAAACATATTTTTCTGCTCAGAGTTACTATATCTGTCTGTCTATCTATCTAGCAGGACACATGTATATATGACTTAAAATAAAACTATGGTATTTATATAAGAAATACATTTTAATAATTTTGATATAGATAAAGAGATTTAAGTTGAAGATACCAAAAAATATTTTGAAACAAATTTATTCCTTCCTTTGTGTACTATTTCTCTCACTATTACTTCCACTCATTGCTCCTGGTTATAACCTCTGTGGCTACGTGGAACAATAGAATAATCCTTCCTCCTTGTGACATTTCTTCAGATATTTGGAGGCATCTTTCAACCCCTAAACCTCCAGTCTTCTTTTCACCAGACTAAACATGACTAAAGGCCCTTCATCACCCTGGTTGTTGTCCCTTGGACACTCTCCAGCCTATCAGTCCTTATAGACTGTGGTGCCCAGAATGATGGGACTGTAAATCTCCCTATTCCTGTAAGCTTTGCCCTTTTTTTGTGGGGTGGGATGGGGAATTTCTTGTACTTAAAAAAATATGTATTATTGATCTTTATTTCCAAACCACCCCCCCCACACACACACACACACTCAGCAAGTAATTTCTTGTAATTAAAAAAAAAAGTATGAGAAAAGGCAATTCAGCATAACCAACATATCATATGAGTTTGACAGTATATGTAACATTTCACACCCATAGTCCCCTACTCTACAAGTAAGGAAAGGAAGTACAGTTTTTTCAGTACTTTTCCAACCCATAGCTTAGTCATTTTAATTACATAAGGTTCAGTTTCTCATTTTATTCTTTCCATTTGCATTACTGTAGTTATGTATGTGTGTGTCTGTCTGTCTGTCTTTCCCCTTCCCTCCCTAGGATATCAATGTCATATAATATAAAGAGCACTGAATTTGGAGTGTTCGATTTCTGACTTCACAACTTTCCACCTATGTTAGTCTGGGCAAATCATTTAATTTTGGGGGTGCAGTTTCCTCATTTGCAGAATGAGAGGTATCGAAGTAAACTTGGCAGTCTTTTTCATCTCTAAATGTCCTGAGTATTTGTTATTTTGAAAGAGAACCCTAAGTGCCGGACAGTGCTGAAAACAAAAGTATGAACCACTAATGATGAAATTTCAGGGAGTGGCAGGGAGTCAAGCTTTGCCTTTCTTACCAACCCAAGGTCACGTTAACTTTTTGACTGCCACACCACACTGCTGACTCAGTGAGTCAGCATTCCACTAAATGCTCCGATCTTTTTCAGATCAGTTGCTCTCTCTTCGTGCCACCTCCATTTTATACATGGAAGTTACTTTTTTGTACCCAGGCGCAAGACTTGACATTTATCACTATTGAATTTTATCTTATTAGATTTAGCTCAGTGCTTTAGCCTTTCAGATCTTTTTGAATCCTGACTCTGTCTTCTGTTGTATTAGCTATCCCTCCTGGCTTTGTGTCATCTGCAGATTTGATCACCATACCATCTCTATGCCTTTATCTATATCATTGATGGAAATGTTAAACAGCACAGGGCCATCCATGTTCATATCCTTAGAGGACTGCGTATTGGAGTCTTCCTGCTATGTTGACATTGGACCATTAACAACTACTCTTTCAAGATGGTGATGCCACTAGTTCTGAAACTTATTCTCAGTGTCCAAAACAGCTTTGCTAGAATCTGGGTAAACTATATTCACAGCATTCTTCTCCTATTTTAATAATTCTTGCCAAAAAATTATAATTTAGCATGATATGTTCTTTCTAAATTTTTTAATTCTCAGTTTAATAAGTACCAAATAAAATGACCATTTACACTCACAAAGTAGGAATAGAACAAAGTTGTACATGAAACTTAATAAGTGCATCTTGCTTTTCCTTTTAACTATGTAATTAATTCAGTACATAACTTTCAAAGCTGCCTATGTTGACTTCTGGCCTTCCGTGCTGTATGATTTAAAATTCTTTTTCTATTTTCTTCCTTCCTTCCTTCCTTAGTTTCTTTCTTTCTTATGACTTTATTACTGTATCCCTCCCCTCCCCACATTGGGGTGGGAAAAAAAGAAAAAATCTTTGGAACAAATTTATAGAGTTAAACAAAACAATTCCCTTATTAGCTCTGTCTGAAAATGTCAAGGTGAATGGAATGCTTCATCATCCCATGACCTGTTCTTGATGAATCCATAGCTTTTGTAAATCACCATTTCCATCTAGATACTTTACAATCATTAAAAAAAATCTATTCTAAAGTTTTCTTAGGAATCAAACCATAGACTCACTAACCTATAGTTTGTAGAATTTGTTCTCTTCCCTTTTTTGAAAATACTTTTGTCCAGTCTTGTGGTTACTCCCTTTTCCATGATTTTTCAAACATTGACAGTGGCTTATCAATCACATCTATCAGTTTTTCAGCATGGACCAAGTGACTTGAGTTCATCAAGAACAGCTGGTTAGCCTCTTTATCATCTTGCTGTTTTAGGTATCTGCTACCTGGTAGTTATTTTTGTTCTGCCATTCCAAAATAAATGCCATTTATCCTTTGCAGAGAAAATAGAAACAAAACAAAGATTTCATTAGTTTATCCACTACAGGCAAAGATCCTGTCTTTTCTTGGATCTTCCTTTTTTTCTTCAGTGACTAAAACAACCCACCCTTTTTGTTCTATTTTCCTTAGCTTTCCTTACCAGCCACAGCCAATGCTGAGTGTTTCTGACAAAACTATTTTTTGCAGGATTGTGCCATACTCTTAGAATCACCTTCTATACCTGGCTTTACTTCATTCTCTATACATTTCTTTTTAAAATCTAAGTTTTGGGGCAGCTAGATGGTGCAGTGGATAGAGCACCAGCCCTGGATTTAAGAGTACCTGAGTTCAAATCCAGCCTCAGACACACAACACTTACTAGCTGTGTGACCCCATTGCCTAACCAAAATAATAATAATAATAATAAAATATAAGTTTTTGGGGAAGTTTCCTGTGTATCCACATATGTCTTTTCAGATAAATCACACTTTTTCTCTTCATTGAAATTGTTTTCTTTTGTCTCTTCAGAATTTTGTTCTTGAGCATCTCCCATCCCTTCTGGGTTGAATTCTGCCAAAGCTTTTTTAGTCCATGGGATCTTACCTTTCTTTCTTCTGAACCTTTTTAAATCTGTTTCTGCAAATCTAAGTTGCATGTCAGACTATGCTCCAGATTTTCTTGCCGCTCTCTGAAACTCTAGAATGGAGTGGTTACTTCCCTTCAAAGATGCCCTGCATTTCCACCTCAGTGACAGGTTCCTCCTTGTTAGTGAGATCCATATTAGAATTTCTCCTTTTTGGTTCATTCACTTTTTGAAGGTAAACAAACTTTAATATCGCTTAGGCCGTTCAAGAAGTTATTCTGCTCCACTTTTGGCAGAGAGGAAGCTCTAGAAGATGTCTGAATAATTGAGGTCCCTCATCACTCCTATGACGTGCCTCTGGGCCAAGCTCTGTTACCCCCTCTCATTTATTTCCTTTTCTCTTTAAGATCTCTGTAGTATACTCCCAACAGAATAACTTTGGTTTCTTCTTCCTTTGACCTTTACCCAGATACTCTCCATCTTTCACATTCCTAGATTTCTTCATATGCATATACCATTTTAATATTCAGTACTACCCTACCTTTTTCTTTTACCTATGCTATTTCTTTTGAGTAAGATAAACCCGTTATGCAGCCATAGTTTATTTGTACTATTATCAGAAAATCTGAAGCACACCAGATTTTTACGCAGGTGCTGACTGAATGGTTTAAGTAGGCTATAAACCCATTTCCAAAATAAATGTATTGTATTGTAGTGTCATCTTAAGTAAATTTCAATTCAATATGTAAGTAATAGTTCTGGAAAGCTTAGATAAATAAAAATCTGATACTGTAATTAAAAAGTTGTCTAGTTTCTTCAGGACTTGCACTAAAATAGGGTTCTTAACATGTACCTATAAGTTTGTTCATTTAATATTTTGATAAGTATATTTCAGCATAATTGATTTCTATTTTAATCATGTATTTTATTTTGTGCATTTACAAACCATTTTTCTGAGAAAGGGTCCATAGTTTAACTAGACTGTCAAAGGAGTCCATGATGCAAATAAGATTAAAAACACCTACACTAAAATCAGAAGACTTTGAAGCTTGGAGTATAGGGCCTTAGAGAGCATTAAATTCCACACCCATATTTTATAGAAAATTGTAGCATAAGGAGATTATGATTTATCAAAAATGTCACAGCTAGTTTGTGGTAAAACTGGTACTAGAACCTAGGGGTTTTCCCAATCCAGTTTCTACTATAGCATAATCCTAATTAGTTGAAAACATCTCTAATTACGGTGAAATCTCACATTTTTGGCCTTTGCCTGTTTGCATTGTCATCAAGGTAGAAGAGAACAGAAGCATAAGGAGTTTATTATATGATTCCTACCTCAACTCTTCTTCCCCAATTTGAATAAATTAATGTTCAGAAAAGTCAAGTCAGCGAGCATTTATTAAGTACCCGCTAACTGCCACCACTGTGCTAAATGCTGGGGGTACAAAGAAAAGCAAAAATAGGCCCGCCCCTCAGGGAGCTCACAGTTTAATGGGGGAGACAACATACAAACAACTTTGTACAAGCAAGATATATTCAGATCAATTGGAGTTCATCTCAGATAGAAGGCATTGACATTAAAGAGGAATGGCAGAGGCCTCTTGCAGAAGGGATTCTGTCTGACCATTGAAGGAAGCCAAGAAACAAGGTGAGGAGTGAGGGAGTGCTAGGAACGAACAGTGGTGAAAATATCTGGAGATGGAGTATTTTGTTCAAGGAATGGCAAGGAGGTCAGAGCTAGTAAATTGTAGAATTTGTGGAGGGAGGAATAAGCTGTAAGAAGACAGGAAGGCAAGAAGGGACCAGTTTACAAAATAATTTTTAAAGCCAAACAGGAGGCTGCTAGGTGGCGCAGTAGATAGAGTACCGGCCCTGGAGTCAGGAGGACCTGAGTTCAAATGTGGCCTCAGATACTTGACACGAGCTGTGTGACCCTAGGCAAATCACTTAACCCCAATTGCCTCACCTCCCCACCCCCCACCCCCCCAAAAAAAGGCCAAACAGAATTTTATATTTGATTCTGGAGGTATTAGGGGAGCCACTGGAGTTTATTGACCAAGGGAGTGACGTGGCCAGATATTCACCTGAAGAAAATCACTTTGGCGACTGAATGGAAGATGGATGTAGGGAGAGACTCAAAGCCAAGGAGACCAATCAGCTGTCTGTTGCAATAGTCCATTTGTAAGACGATAAGGCCAGACACCAGAAGATGTCACGGTATAAAAGAAAAGAAGGGGATTGTAAATGAGATGTTCCAAAGTTTCTTTGCCACATCAACTAAATTAAATCCAAACATACTCTTTGTATTGTAATTTATTTATCACTTTATATTCTATTTGAAGGTTTTTACTGTGTTAATTTTAAAAGTTCTACTATTAATGTGTTTTAGTCATTGGAACATGTTTTCTCACAACTACTTTTTAAAAGTTTCTGTCAGCTAGTTGCTGTTGTGTATATGTTTTACAGATTAATGTTTTTGTAATAAAACTGAGAAGCATGGAGGTATTTTCATAATCTACAGTTGTTCTAAATATCATTTGTCTGTCTTTTTTTGTTTGTTTGTTTTTTGGTGAGGCAATTGGGATTAAGTGACTTGCCCAGAGTCACACAGCTAGTGAGTGTTATGTGTCTGAGGTCACATTTGAACTCAGGTCCTCATGACTCCAGGGCCTTTGCTCTATAGACTGTGCCACCTAGCTGCTCCCCCCCCCCTTTTTTTTGTTTGTTTCATTTGTCTTTCCAAGTAGATTTAATATCTGAATTTTTTATTGTCTATATAATCATAACTTTCTTTTTGTACCGGTAATATACTTTTAGTAATTAAGCTGTGTGTGGTTCAAAACAAGTCTTAATGTTGCGTTCACTTTGTCTCACTACCTCACTTTTTTTATACAGTTTCTTTTTGTATTTTTACAGGGTCCACTTCCTAATACTTGTTGTCATTTTTGGCTAATGGTATGGCAGCAAAAGTCCAAAGCTGTAGTTATGCTAAACCGAATTGTGGAGAAAGACTCGGTAAGTAATATTTATAACTTAGTATAACTACATTTATAAGTGCTCTCTCAGGTTGCTTTTGATGGATCTGCTTGCTTGTTAGCTGTCCCTAGTTGCTTGAGGACAGTGGTTAGGATCTTTTCGACAGGGAGAACTAATATATCCTTTTCCTTTGACACCCTAAATTCTTAAATAACAAATGCAGGCCATTAATTACCCTCAGAGGTTTAAATATAATACACTAAGTAATAATTAGCAGTAATACATACTTAGCTCATAGCTTTAGAGGTCTTAAAAATTCCCTAGGCTGGATCATGGTTCTTTGTTGTCTAAGTGTTGGGAAATCTGTGATTGATTTATGTAAAATGACTGCTGCATCTACATAAATTATTAATGGCTTTTAGCTGATGGCTTTAAAAGTTAGGCTTTAGATAAGTAACAAATAACTAAATTAAAATTAGAAATATAATTCATTTTCACTACTATCAAATACATACTCGAAGCTAATAGGTTTTACAAAACTACTTTTCTGCATTCTTGGGTATGTGATATAATGTGTAATTTGTCTCTTCATTGTCATTTAATCCATTTGTCATTTTTTGGACAGTCTGAAATGTACTTCAAAGACTCTTGGGTTTTGTGATTTTCAGTATAAGATAAGAAAGGACAATGTTCATTTGTTAAACTTGATGAGATTGCCAAAGATTCAGGCTTTTGTTTAGAAATCTAAATTTTAAAATAGCATTAACAGAGTTTAATTGAGGTTACAATTAGAAAACTGATTTCATTGAACAAAAACATAAAAGAAAACAAGTTACTGAATCATGTTGAAAGGCTTTTCAATATATCCCTTGATGGATAAGAGTAAGTTAACACACATCTCAATATTTTATTATGTTGGACTGTGAACTTATAGGTCTTTTTTTGGGAATTTTTATATTATACTTTAAGAACCAATAGTAGCACTATCCTAAGGTTGCAGTTTATGTAAGTGTTATTACCTCATGAAAGAGGATTTTCTTAATCCAGAAAGTGCAATGTGGTATTACCTATTTTCCAGAGCAAAAGTTAGAGCAACAGGTTTTCTTCTTTGAAAAATGGCACACATAGAGCAGCAAAACATTTGTACTTGCAAGCTTTAGGTAAGAAATAGAGCTGTTCTGGGAGTATTTAGCCGTGTTTCTGATCTAGAAGGCTGACATTCATTTAAAAAAATTAGTAAAATAACTAGATTGATGTTTCTCAGGACTTAGGAAAATAAAAACATTTCGATTGCCAAAGCAAAAGCTTAGTGAAGTCAAATATTTGCCAAAATCTTTGGTCTGTTTGAAAATAAATAGTTCTGTTTTGAGGGGCTTTGTGTTCTGTATTGTCGAAATACAATTGCTGTTATCTCACTTTTCTTACATCTCCTTTTATGCTTGTTGCAGTTAAAGACACACTTAAAATTCAGAAATGCTATTTAAGCCAGATCAAGCATAGATTTTTTAAAATTCTAAATGATTTCTCACGAGAGCATAAAAATCCATAAGGATATAGAATATATTCAGGAACAAGTTTTTAGACCTATATAATAGGTATTTTAAAAATAAAACCTTTTCAATTCAGTATTATGGGTACCTTCCCCTCCTAGAATCTGTTAAATTTATAAACATTAAAAGTAAAAATATATGATAGTAAAAATGTCAGCCATCGTGCTTTCATGGATCACAAATATAGTTTAACTATTTATCAATATTTTGCCTTTCCAAGGTAAAATGTGAAGGTCCTTATTAGAAAGAGAATTTCATTACCTTAAAAAGCAATACATTTTAATAGCAATATTACTTGTTCTGCATTCAGTTGTCAAGTGATTCCTCTTAAATATAGTAGTAACATTGGTTTTTTGTTTGGATCTATAATTTGAAAAGAGGTTCTCTTCTTTTGTATTGGATTATGTCTCTTCAAGCTCTTAAAATGTTTATTTTTTTGTATTTTTCACCTTAGGTAAAATGTGCACAATATTGGCCAACCAAAGAAGACCAAATGATGCTGTTTGAAGAGACAGGATTCTGTGTGAGGCTAGTGTCAGAAGATGTCAAATCATATTATACAGTTCATCTACTAAAATTAGAAAATATTCATGTAAGACTCTTCACCCCTCCCCCCCATAATATTTGTTCATTCTATCATCATAAGTTTTTGTTGCAGTGTTTTTGAATTATAATTGGATATCATCTTATACCATGTGTTGCTATCCATTTTGCTTTTTGCATTTGTTCCTGTGTATAGTATCTCCAAATTGGATAGAAATACAAGCTAAGCTTTGAGAGTGTTAAGTGTATTTTATTTTTGGCAATAATAGTAACTCGCTATTCAGGGATATGACAAAACATAATCATTTATAAATACAGGTATACCCCACCATATGATTCTTCATAATCCTTACAGATTAACTATAATGGAGTTATAAAAATAGTGAGGTTATTCAGCATTTGGTTGGGCAAGACCATAATAATGAAATTCTTGCCAGGATACATAAAATCTGTTTTCATGTTGCTTCACTATTGTGAATATTGTGAATTAAACATTTGCTTTTATAAATAACTAGGATTAAAAGCAGGTAACCATTTACTGGAGGAGCTCCTTTCTCTTTTTATCTTTCTCGTTTAATTGGTGCAAGTTAAGGGCAAGAGATGTGGAAATGCTTAGGAGATGATAATAAAAGCTAAATAATGATAATAGAAGAGAAATATCATTTGCTTCGCAGAAAGTAACCTTGCAACCAGAATTTAGGAATGCATTTATTAGGGGCAGCTAGGTAGCACAGTGGATAAAGCAGTGCCCCTGGAGTCAGGAGGATCTGAGTTCAAATCCAGCCTTAGACACTTGACATTTACTAGCTGTGTGACCTTGGACAAGTCACTTAACCCTGATTGCCTAGGGGAGGAAAAAAAAGGAAGAATGCATCTGTTATTTGAAATGAAGTATACTTGTAATAGATTATTTAGAAATAGAAGTTTCTAAATAAAGTAGGTAGCCAGTGATCACTAATCAGCATTTTATGATTGGCAAAAAATAGTTATCCCAAATAAAAGAAAGTCAGTCAACAATCATTTATTAAGCACTTGCTATCTGTCAGGCACTGTGCTAACTGCTGCAGAATCTGCCTTTAATAAACTCACATTGGAATGCGGGAGACAACATGCAAATATATATGTATAATACATATATATGCAGGATAAATGGGGGGAGAAAATCTCAGAGAGAAGCCAGTAGGCAGGGATTTGGGGGGAGTTGAGGGGAGATGGATGGACCCAGAAAGGCCTCCTGTAGAAGATGAAATTTGAAAGCATTTGTTTTAAATGTTACCCTTAGGGGGCAGTTAGGTGGCGCAGTGGATAAAGCATCAACCCTGAAGTCAGGAGGACCTGAGTTAAAATCTGGCCTCAGACCAAATACTTGACACTTACTAGCTGTGTGACCCTGGGCAAGTCACTTAACCCCAATTGCCTTAAAAAAAATAAAAGTTACCCTCATTTCCCAGATATGGAAATGTAATATTTCTGTTGTTCCACTCCTCCACTCATCACTGTATGCAAATTTCAACTGTATATCCAATTGAGAATTGTTCTCAGAAGCTTTAATAGTTATGTGTAGGCTACATTTGATGCATATGTAATTGAACTCCACATAAATTCCTGAGGCCCTGAGATATGGTGCCTAGCTTTGTAGACCCATAATACCTTCCCATACCTCAGCATTTTTGGTCCCTTGGACCGCCCTGTAGCATAATGCTCTTGGGGCTCCACTATGGTCTTCTTATGGCCCCCAAAGCTGAAATATTTGATGTTTTAATTCTTGCTCTTTATTTCAGAATTACAGGTAATTTACATAAACTGCATTTATTTCCTAGTCACTATTCACATATCTTAACTGTAGTTCTTCTATGTCCATTTAAGTCATTTCTAAGAGTAGCATTGAACTGGATAGTACAGTATTGTTGCCAAAAATGCATTTTATAATTTTCTAACACATCTCTGTAGGTTCTTTTATTATTGTTGTTTCATGCTTAATTTTAATTTATTACAAGTGTATGTCAGACCATTTTATTCTTGCATCTTCTTAATGGTTTCTTCTTTATATTGCCCTTCTCCTTTCCAACTTGTCTGGATTTGGCTTTATGCTCAAGAATCTTTTTGCAGTCTTTGTCGAGGTTTAGCCTGGTAATTACTACCTTACTAGGGTAAATGTCCACATGGACAGTTGTGCCATTAGTTTTTTCTCACTGAACACATTCAATGTAGATGATTTATTTCTTTCTGTAAACCTGGACTATCTTGCCAATTTGCTGACCTTTGTAGTGTCCACGAACCACCTGGACCCTCATCATCCTTCCGGATGGGCATGGAGCGGACATTGTATTTCTGTCTCAGCTCCTTGGAAAGCGGGGAGGACATGATCTTCCAGCGAATGTGGGAGGGCACATTGAAGTGTCTCTTGCTGTTGTTGCTTCGATCGGAGGTCACGAAGGGGTTGAACTTCATTTTGACTAAACAAGGCGGGGAGGGAGGAGAAGGAAGGTAAATAATAACTCATGTCTATGGCTCTTTAAGGTTTATGGTGCTTGCCTCCCACTCACCCTGAGAAGTAGTGCAGGTATTACTCTTTCATTTACAAAAGAGGAAACTGAGGCTCAGACAGGCTAAGAAGCTGAGGTCACTCTGGAGCCTCCTAGGCCAAATCTCTTTCCTCTTCACCAGGCAGTGCCTCCACCACAGGGCCCCAGGCAGAATAGGCAGCTCCAGAAGGTAGGAGACAAAGGGAAAAAACGCTCAGGTTATTTTGTGTTATATCTCACTTATCTACTAGCTAGAATAATGCTTTTTGGATCATTTGTTTAGCAAGAGGTAGTTATAAATGTGTTGCTTTATTTTTCTGAGCCTTGTTTTTAATTTCTGAGAGAATAAAATAATTGAATTGACTATACCTCATATGGTTGAACACAAGTGAAAATTATATAGTAGTTATTGTGGTTATTTGTTATTCTGAATTCATATCATCTGACAAAAGTGCTGATGATCACTTAAATAACTGCTATACTAGTTTTATACTGTACTATACTATACTATACGATATCATACCATACCGTACTGTACTGTACTGTACCATACCACTATACTAGTCTTACTTATATTACTGACATCCAAAAAATCTTACTGATTTTTATGGCAGTGAATCATAGAGGTTATATGTGTAATCAATATATTCAGTGTACTTCAACATCTTAGTTCTCTTTGTATAGGTTAACTTTAGAGCTGAAAATGTTTTTCTTTAAACTTTCTAATTTTCACTTGTCCTCTTTTCCCCTCTTGTTTTTCACAATCCTGTTGGCCAGCTTTAATATATTAAGTTCCAGGAATTCCATTTTAATAATGACAACATTGTAATTTCCAGGCTTAGATGACTTGTCGAAAAGGGGTAGGGTTACTAACGTGTATGACATTTTAGATTTTGACCTACAAATGTTTCAGCTGTTCCTCTCCCCAGCAATGCCCTTTACTCCTTACCTATTCTTCTATGCATCCTTCAGTATCTAGCTTAGCTCTCACTTTACTATCAGCACATATTGACATCTGTAATTTTTTAGTCTGACAGTTTGGCATTTATCACATACCTTCTTGTCTTCCAGTTTCATGTGTCTTAGCTGTATGCCTTATCTACGCTAAGTCTAGCACAGTAGTCAGTTTATGATACAAACAGTGGGTGTTTAGTGAGTACTTTTTGATTAAAATGGAATGTGAAAGAGTTTTTGGTACAGGTATAGTCAAGCATTTTTTAAGTGTAGCCTTGAAGATAATTTACAGAAAATATAAATTAAAATAATTTTCAGCACATCCTAGGACCTATTCAATTCAATTCCATAAACAATTTTTAGGGACCTATTTTGCTCAAAACACTGGGGGATACAAAGCCAAAAAGTAAAGAATATCTTCAAGTAGCTTCCATTCAACTGGACTAATTTGAGAAGGTGCCACCTGAGCTGAGGTCTGAAGGAAAGAAGGTATTCATTGTGGCAGAAGGGGCAGGGCAGCCTCACCTTTGCTGATTGATCTTCACAATCTCAAGGCCCTTTGTCCTTATCACATAACACATTTTATCATAGTTATTTATATGTAACTCATCTCCCCCACCAGAGAAGATAAGCTCCTTGAGAATAATGTCACTCTTTATGCCCTCCACAGCTCAAAACTCACTGCTTTGCACATATGGGATCTGAATAAATAATGAATAAATGGCTTATGGATTTTTAAGTACCTATGTTGGTTTCTTGAAAATTTGAACATGAGAGTCAAATGGATGATCATTTGAGGTGATAGTTTAACTTAGCAAAATTAGAAAATCACAGATGTTCCTATTATCATTACTACCCCCTCAATTCAGTATTCATTCTCTATTTCAAAAATGTACGGTGATCTTTTTGGAATTTTACCTTAATAAAACTTTATTTAATTGGAATGTTAAGATTGGCAGTGTTCAGGTATATTGAATTTTCTGGTAAACTGAGGTTACTGAGATCAGTATAGTCATCATGTTGTAATAGAGAAAAGTGCCAGACTTCAGGTTAGCCAAGAACTACCTGGGAATCAAAGGACATAAAATATGTAGAATACTATTAAACCTTAGAGTTCTATATAAATGGTAGTTGTTATCAATTAATGCCATATTGTAATACAGATCATAATTACCAGAAGTAGGTCTAAACTTAAACCTTAAGGCTTAATTTGGGGTTAGTAACACATAAAACTCGTCTCTTTATTCTTGCCCCCAATAAATCCCTTAAATGAGTTAGTTTTCCTGTCATTAGCCTTCTCTTATTTAAGTAAAGGTAACTAGGTGGCACACTGGATAGAATGCCAAACTTAAGAGTCAGGAAGACCAAATTCTGCCTTAAACACTTAATGATTGAGTGATCCTGGGCAAGTCACTTATCTCTCAGCCCCATTTTCCTCACCTGTAAAATGGGAATAATAGAGGACCAAATGAGATAACCTATAAGGTACTAGCAAACCTTAAAATACTTTGTAAATGCTACTTATTATTATTGTTATTACTAAAATTGCAGCTAATTGGAGGTTTACTAT